TACAACCACTCAGTAAAACACACGTAAACAGTTAGTGACCTTGGTGTAAAATCTGAATAAATCACTGCGACCATTGCTTTACTGAGAATCATGGCGGTAATAAATGAAGAAGTAGACGCTGACCTTTTGGTGCGTATGTCTCAGATTCATTCATTGTTCACAGTTTTGCTTTACCTGCTCCAGGAAGAGACCACGAGAAAGTGTTTGTGGTTGAACAGTTTCCTGCTTCTAGCAGACGACTGCGTAAGAGGTGAACTAGTCCAAGAGGGTTATAAAACTGTTTTCAGGTCAAATTAGGTTGTTTAAATATCTATGATAGTGATTAAAAACTTTTGTATATACTTAGATGCAGATAAAATACTGTTTCATTAGAATAACATGCAAAAGGGTGGGTAGAATAGAGTCATTTTTTTTTATATATTTGGTGAAAATAACTATTCAAAAAGTTGAGTGATTACAGCTCATCCCTAGAATTGTAAGCGAAACATAACCGTAGCCTTCAGTTGTATAGGTAATAGAGGGCTATTGTTCGGTATAATAAGGTAGTAGATTAAATATTAATCTGGGTTGCTTCCTGTTTTTTGTTTTTTGTTTGTTTTTTTTTGGCCCATGCCCAAAATTGCCAAGGTAGAATGAATATTATGAATATTAAGCCAAAGATGAAAACAACTGAAATATTTTCATCAAAGACAAAAGGTTCAACATCTTAGAATAGTTTGCACTGAGAGTAGTTGAGTAGTAAGTAATATTGCTGCTGACTAATTGTATTAATCTGTGCTGCCATCTACTGGAGAAACACAAAGTTACATAATTTTATATTCAAGCCCAAGACCAGTTTTGTTTAGTGTGTAAATAAAATATATATGTTGCATGATGGAGAACAGAATGATAAACATGCATTATATAATTTTATTTGTGCATCGTGTCATAAAAGGCATGATATAGGTAAAGAAAATTGCTGGTATGTGCTGCCATCTACTGGAGTAGATTTATTTATTTATTTATTTATTTATTTATAGTTTCTGTGTACGCCCATTTAGAAACAAAATGCGATTGCAAATATATGTAAAAAAAAAAAAAAAAAAAGAATCTGTCCTTGTGCATACAGCTTTAATTTGAATGCCATCTCTTCGTGGCTTATTATATTGGTAGATGATTAGCACCGAGATGATAAAGGAGGTGTATATTGTTACTAAGGTTGATTTTTTTTATTGGTTAAAAAAAAAAATCTGTCATTCTCCTAATGTGTTTGTTAATGGTTGCTTCGTTCCTTTTTGCAGTCTATTTATGTATAAATATGTAAATGCTTCAGTACAGTATGCAGATTAGGAGAGCAAGGCTGACCTCTACTGTCCAAACTAATGAACAGATGTTTATGCAGTGCCCTGTACACCTATGGGACTGTCCCACAGGGAGAGGGATGTCCTGTAACATCCTCTGAGAGCATTCAAAACAACAGCTCATGTCAAACACATGCTGCTGTCACTGAGGGAGGAGGTCATGGGCAAGTCACAGTCACTGTCACTGTAGAGCAGTGCTTTTCAAACTAATCTAACGAAACTAGCCTATAGGTAAAAGTTATATGACATTAGGATGACAATGACACTGAGTCATTTAGAAGAAGAAAAAATCTCTACATGGAAAAAACAAAACCATAAAAAATAATAATGTTGATTGTAATTAGAATTAGAACACATTTTAAAAACTAGATATTTGTAATTACTAAACCAAAATGTAGAAATTAAATAAGGTCAAGTCAAGAAAATAAGAATTCAAATTGAACATCAACCAAAACACAGGTTAAACGGGCCTAAACCGTATAACAATAATAGCAAATAGCTGTCACCCTCCAGGGAACTGTCATCACACTACTCATGCTGGAAGACATGATGGCAGAGAGTACAGAGGACTACTGCAGGACTTTATGGACACGTGGAAACACTCCTCATTAACAGGGTGAAGACCAAGGACATGGTGCACTATCATGTGTGTTCACCTAAACAATAATCTGACCAAGACTCACAGATGCACTCTAAGGGCCACTGCAGGACTTTCTGTGGCATCAGCCATCTCCTGAGGACTGTCCACTGGGAAGCTGTGTGATCATAGGGTCCTGTTGTAAATTCAAAGTTTTAAGTATATAGTTTATAAGTTTAAAAACATATATTTATATTAGTTTATATGTAACACATGTTACATATAAGCCTATGTTAGTAGCAGCTGTGGAGTGTATATCTGCATAAGTGAGAGGGGTGTATGAAGTGCGTCTGCGGATCCACAGACAAACACTTCAGACGTGCTTTTATAAACACTCAAGAAAGAAAAAGAAAGTTGCACCAGCAGATGGAGAAAGCACTTTAACATGCCTTAAATCAAGGGCGTCTGCAGCCTTGAGGAGGATATATGAGCTCCAAAGTTGGGTAACTATTTGGATTATTGACATATCTATTCTATATAAGATTTCTAAGAAAAAACTACAAAAGGTTTAATTAAGGCTTTGAAAAAATACAAGGAATAGCAATGTTGGTTCTATTTGTTTTCAATAAAAATACTATACTGCATTATTATTTTATGATGCTTTTCAAGCAGCCAAAGTCGCTTTAGGATACTGTAGCTACATTTAATCTAGGGTGGACTGACGAAGGCTATTAATCTGCACCATCAGCATTTTCTACTTCCACCAATCACTCTCACACACACACACACACACACACACACACACACACACACACGCACACGCACACACACACACACACACACACACACACACACACGCACACACACACACACACACACACACACCACACACACGCACACACACCCCACACACACACACACACGCACACACACACACACACACACACACACACACACACACACACACACACACACACATACACGCACACACACACACACACACACACACACACACACACACACACACACACACACCATGTTCATACATAGCAAGGTGGCTGAAGTGTCTTGCCTAAGGACACATCAACAGTTTGTGCTGCTGTTGTTGTCTAAAAGAATAAATAATGCATAATATAAGGTATTTAATAATGTAACTTCATCATCATTCATCGTTTGTACGTTTGGGTTTGTTTTTGGTGCTGTGAGTTTGATTATATCAGCAAATGTCAAAAGTTATAAATGTCACTGGGTGAGTCAGTGCTCAAAGCCTGGTTTAGGCAAACACTTACATAATGGATCATAAGTCATTGTTCCAAAAAAGTGGAGTTTCTGCTTTTTGCAAAAATGGATGAGGATGACGCTTATGGCTTCCATTTGTTCAGTGTCAGCTTTAGAGTGTCTATAAAGCCTAAATAAATTCAAGTTTAAAGGTGCACTGAGCAACTTTTCACTTGGAGGGTCTGTTACCTACTTGGAGATGTTATTGGTTTGCCTGTCTCATGATAGATAGGTTTAATGTGTACTATGGAACATTCTAGACAAAACAATAATCTTTCCATGGAGATAAATGTTACACAGTGTACCTTTAAATTCAACCAACATTATATTTATATTACACTATATGCTTTCTCTTGCCTCTGTGTCTCTAAAGTCATATAATGTTGTTAAGTATTTCTGTATACAAACCCATTTGACTCTCCTTAAATTATGAACTGCCCCTCACTGATTTATCTGTGTTAAAGCCACCTATTTGAAACACAACACAGTTTAGCTCCTCAAAGTGGAACATAACCAGCACCTGCATGTCTCTTAAACTCACAGTACTGAGAAGTAAAGTTTATTTAGGACTACTGCAGATAGATACAGTTGGCATGGAAACAGCAGGGTCCATTTTTAGATGTTCAAGTCAAAGTTTGGACCTCTGGGTTACTCAGTCCAGACACCAATGTTTCATCTGGTCCTGTGAGTCTGTTCTCTAATTACTGCTCCCCACAGCTACAGTGTGTAGGCAAAGCATTTCCTCAACTTTTAGAGTTCAAGTTAGAGGAGAATGTACACAAAAGTGAAATAACTGAATGCAGTCGTACATTCTCAGACACAGAGATATTTAAGATAGAGACTTTGTTAATTTGCAATTAAACATAGTCAACACACTCATATAAGACTATTTTACATATTTTAAATGAGTTACTGTTTAATATTATATTATGTCTAATATAATATTGAATATTATATTAATTTTATATTAAATTATTATATACAATTTGAATATATTGTGGCTTTCTTTTAGTCTTTTTGCAAAACCTTTAACTTGGCCAGTGTTACAATGTTATATTGCTATAATGAGATAATTGTAAGTTGTTGGGTTTTTTTTTCCTAAACTTAAAGGTTCTTGGCCTTTATTGCCCAAAATGGTTTCTTGTGATCTTTAAGCCTTGTTAAAATGTTGTTACCTCATTAAAAACATACTTGGAGTTGTGTTTTTTTTTCATTCACAGATGTCTGTGTAACCCTTTATCATTAGTTTCCACCTTCTGATGTCATGTAATGATAGTTTTCAAGGTAACAGTTACAGTGAAGGTGTATGGAGTTTAAAAACACAGTGGAGCACTTCCTGTCTTTACACATTTATGTATTTTCACAAGGTGTAACAGTTTAAGAGAAGAACTCCTAAACCCTAAATATGCAGGGTTTGCACACTGAAGATGTGTGAATGAAACAAATTGACAAAGAAACAAAATGATAACATTGATCAGAAAATAGCACAATATAGGCCCTTTAAAACATATTTGATGAGTGAACCTAATTGGGCCAGCAGTGATAGGCCTATAGCTTCCCCAGTCTGATATACAACAACTTACATTTATTATTACTATGAATTCGGTTTTTGTTTATTGTTTTTTATCAATTAAAATAATTTCACTTCCAGTTATGCAGAGCAGTTCCTCCTTTGCTTCTTTGTGATGCTTCCTCTTTAGAGCGCATCACAAAGAGGAGGAAGGAGGAGAGGAAGGGGGTTCAAGTTGCGGGCAGGGGGCGGGGCTTAGATCCCTGTAAGCGAGGCTAAGTGCTTTGAACATTAGCTTTGTCTTCCCGTGTCTCTGGATGTTATGACAGGTTTCCAGATGGGCCCCGTTCGTCTATAAATAAACTGCTGTTCCCGCCGAAAAAACACCGACTCTTATGTTTAATGCATCTCATTAGTTTGCAGCGGATCTGTTCCAAAGACTCTCCAACAAAGAACTGCAGAGGGGAAGACACGTGTGCAACCTGCGTTTGACCCCCGGTGAACAGGTGGGATCTGGGCTAAAAACTTGTTTTCCTTGAAAGCTCCGACACTGATCTGAAGAGAGTGAGATTTCCAGTGAGTTGATCCTGTGCAGATCAGCAGTCCCCAACCTTTTTACTTGTAACATACTACTTTTTCAGGGACCAGTGGCAAAAAATCTTAATAACCATGCTTGCTGTTAAGGTGAATTTGCACTATATTTAGGTGAATAATTTGCAGAGTAGCCTAAATATGGTGATAGACTGAAAGGATTTCTTGTTGTTTTTATAAAGATACATAATATTTTTACCTGGGGTCCAGTGCCAGATGGCTCACTGTCTGCTTTTGGGCCTCGGACCAGTGGTGGGGGACCCCTGGTGTAGATGTATTGTACCCCTGGTGCAGACTGAAACCATCGCTTTTCAGTTACACTGGTGTACAGATTGGCATCACTGTACAAATGAACTGAGCTGAGGTAAAGCCTGTGTGTATGAGAAACCTAAACATGACCATTCCTTGGACTTCTTGCTTGCTTTTAATGTAATAATAATTTTAAAATTGCTTAGATATATTTGCAAATGCTTATGATATCCAAATAAATGTAGCATTTTCAAACATGCAAAAATCAATTCCATTTGTTTTCCCAACAGGTATATTACATTAATTCGGTGGGAAGTCTGTTCTCTCATCCAAATGCCAATGAGGCAACCGGCCAGTAACAGTGGATGACCAGGACCCCTCTTCAGCTGCTGGCAAGGTTCTTGAGCAGAAGTGACTAGGATTGATTAGTCCATAACCATTTAGTATTTGAGGTCAAAACAAAATCAAAAGGATACCCATGAGGAGAACATGAAAACTGCAGACACAAATCTCCACATGATTAAGAAATCACACCCTAACATTCTTGTGTGCTAACCTCTTTAACAGATGATACTGATAATCTATTGTTTATTAGGCACCAAAATTAAATGATACATTAGCATATCCATTATATTATATGCCTAAAATATGCTGGACCACTGGACTGGCCTCTAGTGGCTGGTGGGGCCCTGTGCAGTGGAATATTGTACCTATGCCAGGAAGATACATTATTAACATAGTAGTGGTCAAAGCCTTGGTACAATCTGAACTTTTGCACATAATTACTGTCCTAAAACATTTGTGTTGGATCCTTGGACCTTGGTTAAATGGAGTCTGTATAATAACACAACAAAATACAATGAGTACGATCTTCATTCCTCATTGGAAATGTATGTTGCTATGGGAGTAACTAACAGTGGTTCTCAAGGTGGGGTCCGGGATCCCTGGGCCGGGGGTCCCAACAAAACTGTGATAACACTGAACAATAATTTCTTATGATATACAATTCCAAACATGTATTGTTTTTGATTGAAACAACTACACTAATAGAATAAAATTATGATAAATTACTTTCATCCAAGCATGGTTATAAACATGGTTTAAACGTCTGAATTTTATTATGACATCCTGAGGATCGGTAAGGGGTTCTTGGGCTATTTTCATACCGATAAGAGGTCCCTGAACTAAAAAAAGTTTGAGAATCTCAGAGCTAGATAATCAAAATCTTAAGGGCCTATTGAAGCCATAGACCATTGAAACTTTCTAGCTCTAAAGTGTAGATAGAGGCTAAAATGGCCATTGTGTGATAGAGTGGTGTTATTTAGCCTGATTAGCACTTTACTGCAGTAGTTCTTCCTGATGTGTTTCTCTTATCGTCTGCATCACAGCACTCTGGTAAAGGCCAATGTGCCACTGCGTCCAAATCGCCCCCCAACTCCTCATTATCTACACACTGGGCACAAAACACAGCACACCAAAGCACTTATCACTTTTAAAGTTTTATTTGTTACGCTGCAGTTTGACTACAGCATAAGTACAAGCATAAAATCTTTGACTACAACAGCACTTAGAGCAACATTTTTTCATTTTTTTCTTCTTTTCTGTAAAAGTATTGCAATAACAGACCTTAGGCCTAAAACCTATTACATCACAATTGCTTAAATAAAAAGAGGCAAAAGATACACAACGATTTTTACCTCCGCGTTTTGGATAGCTACAGATTACACGTTTGTATGGTCGTGTAGATATCCAAGGTTTTCACGCAGAGGGGGCAGAAGAGAGGGGGGTTGACGAGAGGGGTTGTAAATAAAGCAAAATAATGTTACAAAATCCATGATGGAAGCAGTCCTATGGTAACTGTCAAGACAAGAAATACCAGACTGTATAGACAATTTTTGTATTATTCATTATTGACAAGAATAAAATCTGGAACAATAAAAACAGCTACTTGTCATCAGCGGTTGATTACGGAGTTTTAGAAAGAGGGAGCGCGCTGTAGAGAGAAAAAAGAAAAGAAATAAACTCAAATTAAATCAGTCTGAGCCCAAGTTAGTTCTTCAAGCTAGTGCAGGAAAACCAAAATAATGTTAAGTAGACTCTCCGAAAGAAAAGTACACAACTTCCACTTATTTGGTGCTTTTGAAGAGAGAATGGCGCATTGCTATGTACATCGTCTATAGTTAAGAATGAACATGCTCTGCGGATATTGTACAGTGGAGTTACTGGGTACATACTGTAAATAAATGACTGCAAGATTAAGTATCAAACATGATGTCCATAATCATATACAGAGCCACAAATAACATCTGAATGTATAGAAAAAAAAAAAAATGATGACAGCGTTACTCATCCTCACTTGGTGCAACTGTCTATTGAAACATATGTATTAAAAAAAAGAGAGAGAAAAAATAATATATAAGGAATGACCAGATTTTTGATTAGGTTTCTAGAGATGAAATGCTTTGAAATCCAGAGTCAGGCTGTGCTAAACATGCTAGACAAGCTTTGGCAGATTAACCAAACTACGACTGGTAGAAATACTAAGTCCTATCCAGGAAGTGCTCTGGAGGGTGGTAGTCATGTGATCACACGGCCAGTTATCATAAGACAGTAGAAAGTAACGGACTAAAGACCAAGTTTCATTGTTGATTTGGCAAAGTCAAGTTATGGGCCATGTTTATAACTATACTAGATAAAACTAGTAAAGCTAATGGCTAAAATAATGCAATTTCATAATGCATTAATGGAGCTTATCATAGGTCTAACTTTAGAAAAGGTTAGAATAATATGGCAGGTTATCAATTGAATTAGTAGCAGGGACTACATAGAAAGGCTGACCTTCACTGTCAAGATGAATAGTAAGAAAAAGGGCTTTTGATAATACACTTCAAACACAATAACTGCTTTAACGTCAACGATTCCTCAGTCTGTTATTTTCTACAGTCTATGACAAAGGCCAAGGCATGTGAGATAGTACGTGACATTTTTACATCACCATGACAACACACCCGTTAGACTCAAATCAGAAAGTCCAGTGAATCCTTTCTCACCAACGTCTTTAAGCCACAGGTTCTCATCTTCTCATAACAGACTCATATTCATAGCAAAATATTATAAGTAGTAATTTGTGTTGCAACCATATTCTAAGCATCCTTTGCAAACCATGTTTTCTCATAAAAAAGACAAAGCACGTTTTTAACTGTAGGCATTTTTACAAATTTGATGCTGCCTTTCTTAAAATTCTTATATTGTCTATACATTATATTACAATATTCACAACTTTTGTGGTGTCTACCCATTGGGTAGGATATGTGCATAATATATTCAAGTTATATACAGCACCTTACAAACAAACGTAAAGAGAGACAGACTACTGAAAAAAGCACCGTTGGAAGTGAGGCACAACGAAGGTGGGAGCTTTGAGTGCAAGTGGGTTCCTATGTCTGCTCCACACATGGACAAAATGTCGGTCGGGAGGGCATCAGGGGCAACTAGGGCCTCTGTCCAACGCATAGAAAAGAATATAACGCAGTACAAGCTAATATAATCAAAATGTAAGTTAGATTCAAATAGCGTCTTTAAGAGCAGGTTAAGAAAAGTGTGACGCTACTGAACTTTTGTTAGCACTGTGTGGAACAGTAAGTGCTAGCCTCTGCAGCGATCCCAAGCAACAGTTTGGCCCCAGTGTGGTCTGCTCAAACATGAACATTAGGCACCTTATTTACTCACATAATAGTAACATGCAAACCTCCTCGTAGAAAACATAAAATTCATCTTTATATCCTCCATTTACAAGCTATGACTGCACAGACAGGACAAGCCAAGGGAACGGAGAGAGAGAGCGAGAAAGAGAGGGGGAGAAAAGGTAAAGCAGGACTGGACGCTGTGATCGAAACTTATTGAGACTTGTAGAAGAATGTCAATGTTGCAAAGTATGGTTGAATTTGAGTCTCAATACATTGGAGTTTGACCCCAGCCAGTTTGGGATTATCTAAAAAATGTACGGTAAATCGGGAGTAAGATGGCGGTTTTTGGAGGGAAGAGCAAAGGAAGCATGAGAGCTTTAACAGTAGCAATAATAGTAGCGATAGCAGCAACAGCATTAGCAGCGATGTAGTAACAAACACACAAACATATAGAGCAGTACGGGATAGGGATGAGGCATACATTCAAATGCACTGATGATCCCCATGCGAGCAGAAAAGTATAAAATGGGTTCTCCTTGTATAAAAAGTAAGGGTGGGAAAAAATGTGACTAGCAACAAAGAAAACCAAAATTGTAAAATAATCAAATTTTACATGAAAAATGAATCCATGACCCAGGATATTGAAAACTGCTATATGCAATAAATGATCGACTTCCTACATCCATAAATATTCTGTGTCTCAGATCTGCAAGATATGCAAAAAGTAAGGTTTTAGGGTAGTCATTAGTCAAAAAAAAGTAGCTAAAGATGCACAATTTCATGGAGATTAAAGTTGCCAAAAGTAAGAAAACTCAGAGACGAATCAATTCTAGCCACCAAATCTAGTATCAAAATTAGATACTCATTCGATTTTGTTGAAAATGGCATTCTGCTGTGTAAAAGAAAGTGATTTTTTATTGTTATTGTTGTGCTATAAAAAGAGGTATGGATGATCAATTTCTTTCTTACTACTGTAAGTGAGTTTTAGTAGAAAATTTAGTATTGTTACATTGGAGAAATATTTTCAAAGGATCTTACTGCACATCACCAAATTAATATATTGAAGGCCAGATTTTTGCTTAGAGATTAGAGGGATGTGTCTGAAATCATCTAAAAGCAAATCAATAAATACTAGGATGCAGAATATGTTGAGTTGGGAAAACTGGAAAAGAAAGATCTAACTATCACTGGGTCTTGGCATTGCACGTAAAGGATAAGAACAATCTCTTATGATGAGTTATGACATGACGGCATAGGCTTTTGTCTTAACAGCAAGGCCAAATACGCATCTCCCCAATGCATCTGTGTGGCTTTTTATACACAGGTCCAATTGTAAAAAGACAGTTTAAGTGTTAACATATAAACGCCATTGAGTCTTCACAAAAGCTAATAATAGCGCACATACAAAAAACACACTCAGACGGTACTCTAGTAGTCTAGCAGAGAGTTAAGTGCTTTTCCATGTCGCTAAAAGGGCTATAACCACCGGTACATAAACAAAGCCAAAATCAGGTCTCCAGTCTCTATACTCTTAAAGGGCTTAGCGGACTCACACATGCACGCTTTGACTGTGCACTGCTAAGAGGCAAGAGCGCAAGGGAAGTGCAAAGATGGCCAACAAGATGGGGAGACAGAGACAGAGCAGTGGAGAAGGCAACAATGAGCAGAGAAGGCTTGTTTTTTCAAAAATTCTTACAAAAAAAGGACCCTCCCATAGCCCTTGACTTCGACCACGTTTTTTATTAAACCTGATTGCTGCGCTGGCGAATGCAGACAGGAATCCAAACTTTTTTGTTGTTTTTGTTGTGGCTTTAGAGATGTGAAGCTTCTAGTTTTGCTTTGTGTTTTTTTTTTTCATGGTGTTTTGCAAGGGGTGCAGTGTTGGCAAAATGCACTGTGCAGATGAGGGATGCAGGATTTTAAGGAGCTTGGAAACAGAAACTTCCTCAACTGGACTGGATGGACCCTAGATACATTTTAAGTATTTTAAGTGAACAGAGAATGAGCTATCAAATTGACCAGTTATTAGCATGTTAACTCTAAACAACAACACCGAAATGAAAGTGTAGTAGATATAAATAGCTATTTGATTTTCTTGTTATCGTGATCAACCATTTTCCTGTTGAATGTTTGGCTGGTCTGCATCTAGATATAATTTTAACCCTGCATAAAGCATGGACACACATTTTGTATGGCGTTATATTAAGATGACTTCAGACCATAAGGCAATTTGTATATTTTTTTAAGAGTTTAGAACAAAAGGGAGTAAAAAATGCATGGTCCACCCAGTCGCCATGTTGGAGGCAGGTCTCCAGTGAAGTGTACACAGGTGAAAGGATATTCTCTTACTAAGTCTTACTGTGCCTGTGGAATAAGCAGACAGGGATCATAGGCTGGGTACAAGTTTTTGTTGCGGTTTCAAAAAAGGAAGGACATAAGCTTATAATACTTGTTTTTTTGTTGTTTTTGCTCCCAACAGTTTAAATAAAGTTTGGAGCCAGAGTTCAGTCAGTCCATTCATTCATGAAAAAGGACCAAAAAGAAAGAAAGAAGAAAAAACTACAAAGACATTTTCATCACAGAGCAACGTTTCCCTCTTCTCTTTTACAACAAAAAGATAGTGCAACTTTAAGATAGCGTTTTCTTGTTTGTGTTGAATGTTGAAGTTCTTCCGTTTATTTTGCTTCCTCATGAACCTTGGCACTAAGATTTGGGTTTGGAGTCAGTTGTTTTAGTTGTGATCTCTAGAAGAAGTAGTCCTTGATTCTCGCTTTGTGCACAGATCCCGGTCCAAAATGAAAAGAAAACAAAATGACAATAAAGTGACCCTCCTCAGTTCTGGTGACAGGAGGACGTTAAGAGGAAAGCATTTCATTCTGTGCTGCAGTTTGTGGCGTGAGGGAAAAGCCTCTCCACCCAGTGCATACGTCCAGCCAGCGCTTTGGACTCCAACACAGGAAACACAAGTCTGCGCTTGCTTCCTTACTGTCCTTTGTTAACTTGTAGCTAATATTTATTTGTGCATGGGAGTGTGGACAGAGGACATGAGAGAGACAGGTGCTGTGTGCCAAAAAACACCCCCACTCACCATACAATGAACAGTACATTTGAAAGAAGTTATTCTAGCCGTTTAATGTCAGGGCCGACAGCTGTGGAATGCTTAATGCTAATATTTAAGCTCAACAATGCAACATGTGGCATTATGAGATTGTTAGCCAAAAACACTAAAAGCCACAATTTACATTTGTTTGAAACAGATGCAAATGTGCATGTTTTGCAGTTAATTGTCTGTAATATTGAAGCTTTTAAAACACAGCACAATAGCGCTGGACTGTAAATTCATTTGCCTGTGAGTACTGCTGTATGAGAGCAGAGGTGATGTTGGCCACAGCAGAGACAGAACAGAGGACAGAGTTCAGTCCGGGCCTCAGGCTCCTCACACCAGGTCTTCCGGTCGGCCGTCCTTGGCCTTGGCAGGTACTATTGTGCTTTCTGATTGGCTCTGCTGCTGGATCGTCCTGCTGCCAGGCCCCCCCACCCTCTGGTTATTGCTGTGCTGGTGAAGAAAGAACGCAGCTCCAGGGTAGTGACCCATCACCTCACTGTAGGCCGGTGGTGGGCCCTCCATGCGCCCGTGGGTGCTGGAGTTGGCTGCGCTGATGCCCGAGTTACTGCTAGGCGGTCTGGGTCCACCTGCCCCGCTGACCCCCCCACCCAAAACCCCACCCCCTCCCATGTCAATCAAGTCACTGTCGTAGATGGTTCGGTTGGGTGGTGCCCGCACCGATTCGCGGTTCAGCTCCATCTGCTGTTCAGGGTCTCGCAGCTGTAAGGTGCATGGGCCCTGGTATGGTGGGGGCTCCTCTCCGTCTGACAGGGAAATGGTCGGGGGCAGGTCGATCTGGTGCTGCAGGTACGGGTACGTGGGCTGGAAGCGGCTGAATCGGTCACGCTGCATGAACGAGGGCGCCGTGAAGCGGTCCCGGTGAGCCTGAGGGGCGTACAGCACCTGGACAACACACAAGGAAGAGATCAGAACAAGGATATATAATATGTTTGTAAACTTATACATAGATTATAGTACATCCTCCATGTTGGTTAAGGGGGTCATAGTACTGTCTCTAGCTACCATCTGTGCAGTTGTACTAAACCTTATGTGAATTTGACCCTGTGACATTTTGAAGCCGGCCACATTATAACTGATCACATCCAAGAGCCAAGGGAGAGACCTGTGAATTGGTCCATCCTCCTGCATATCTCTTCATCCTGTATCTTTTGTGGCACGTCTTCTCCACAATTAGCTCTTCAGACGGTGACAGCATGATCCATTTCGCACATTTTGGTCCCTTTCGACACATTTTGTTCAGTGGCAGCAAGTCGTTATCGCAAGGAACCCATTTCAATTAGTGCAATGTGGCTCTAATGGCCTGCCCCCACTGATGAAGAGCCAGACGAGATGGAGAGAGTGAGAGAGAAAGAGCAATAGAAGAAGAGAATGGACAAAGTGCAGTGGCAGGTGGGGTAACAAGTAATGAACTGAAAACCATTGTTACTCCAAAACAGAGCTAGACCATAGGCCGATATTTGTACTTTTTATCACTATCGGCCTTAAATCTCCTGCACAGGCTGATATTTTGTTTTGTCCAACCTGCTGCCTAAAGAGTATATAAAAAACACACTAGTTTAAATCTTTAGCTTTAACTGCATAAAACATAACTACACAGTTCTCTTAAGGCGGGGTCTCCAACCTATAACTCTCTGGGCAACTTGCTAAGGAATTTCTGAATTATACGTATTGTGCTAGTAACAACAGTTTGATTAATAAAATTTAAGGCTTGCCCTCTTTCTTACATTGACTCAATTTCCTGCGACTGCTAAAACTGTTAGCTCTCTGGTATTTTTGTTTTGTAAAGGTATCTCACCAGTGAAAAAAGGTTGGAGACCCCTGTCTTAAGGCTTTGTGGTAAAAAGGGCTGGGGATGACTTAAAAACTGATGAACATTTTGTGGAAAAAATATTCAAAATTGGCCATACACACAGGTCCAAAAAAGAGCCATTAACAGCCATCAGTTGCTCTGGATCAGCATTGACCATGAAAAAAAAACATTATGGTCGATCTCTGCTTCAGAACAAATACTATACTTCTGCTGCAGCATAGCATTTTTATATTATTAGTATTGCAAATACTACTACTACTATACTGGTAGAACTATCACTATAAAATGCTGATAAAGAAGTTGGGAAGGCAGAAAAAAGGAAGAAAAAAGCGCTGGAATGAGACAGGTGGATGGATAGATGAAGGAGGGAGGAGGAGTGGAGGTGTGTGGCTGCACAGCGCACTGGAGCAGGGCAGCTCTCAGACGGCTGTCTAGACAGTGTCAGGGGAGGCGCAGCTGATTAATGACGCACCAACCCCCCCTCGCCCCCTCCACCGCCACACACACACAGGCAGGTTTCGTGTCTTTATAGGGACACGGGGACCATAATGAATTCAGCCATGATTTGATCTCCAGCTCCGTGACAGGTCTGGAGTATTTCAATATCATTTACAGCAGTGGGGACTAAAGGCTGGACTCAGAGTCACAGGTTAGATCTGGCTAAGAGAGCTCTTAATAGTTTTAAAATGTGTCAGTTAGGGCAGGGCAAAATTATCTAAAAATGTCATCATGATATGAAAGTGAAAATGTGTTACTGACTATACTTATAGGGTTGCATTTATAATATTTGTACATACTTGTTTTGGATTATTTAAGTTATAACTAGAAGTTCTTCTTCTCTTTTATTATTAGGTTTTTATCCTCTGCAGAGCCTCCCCAGTCATACTATCTTTTATAGGTAGCAATTAGCCACAATCTCAATCTGCCTCCCTTTGCAACTGAGGAGAAAATCTACTCCAATGCACTTGTAATTATATATACCCATATAATCAAATTTTAATAATCTCCATAAATACAAGAATATATCACCAACCCAAGTGTCAGTTTCAGTAAAAAGAGAATAACTACTAGAAATCTGTGATGTTTAAATGGGTGAAGAAAGTATTTAGAGGCTAGTCAACTATGTATGGATAATTTAGCACCATCTATACAATATATCTCAAGTACAGACTGCTAATATCACTGAACTTGCTTATGATTGAGAAGTTTGTAATAAAGTATTTCAAAATCACTGGCAGTCTGGCAAAAAGATCATTAGGTAGCTCTAACTAAGACTTCAAAGATTTCTTGACAAATCCAACCATAATTCAAAAGAGAGAAAAAGTTTTAAAAGTCTCTCTAGTGCTTATGTCTCCCAAACTCTCTTCTTAAGTCTCCAGCTCTGGCTTCTCCCCATGAGTCCATCTCCTTGTGGTCTCTCTCTCTCCCTGCAGGTCTCCGCTGCGGTGTTGACACTGCTTTTACCTCTCTCTCTCTCTCTCTCCCCCTTTTCTCCAGCTCTCCTCCTCCCTCCCCTCTACCTGTCTCGCACTTGGCCTCTTTTAGTTCTGTTTACATATAAGAAGACATCTAGAACCCTGCGCTGTCTATGAGGCTGCCAGGGCTCGCTGTCTGAAAGCAGATTCGGTGCATCTGTGTAGGCAAAAGGGCAACAAAACAAACAGTATTAATTGGCTTGGATAAAAGTTCACACAATGCGCTCCGTGCCAAACTTTTTACCTTAACAGACTATTGTGTTTTGTCATGTTTTCCTGAGTGCCCCTTCTATTTTTCCCAAAGAGCACACTTCTTCATAAGATTCACCATCTGCTCTATCTGCCATTATCCAAATCTAGCCTTTTTTCTGTCATTTTTGGTCACTGGGGTGCATCTACGGCACTCTGGGGAACGTAGCCAGATTGTTGTTTTAGTATATAGTGCCAGCCACTCACCAAACGCTCCCTACATAGTTTAATTGTTGTCATTATTGGCTGAATGTGAGGGTGCACATTTGCAGTCTGAGGGGGGTTGCCAGATTTGCCAGACTTTTCTTATTTTACATGGCTTTAATGTTTACAAGCTTATGAATACAAAATGTAATGATGTCTTTGCCTGGTTGCCTTCATATTAGGGATGTAATGATATCCAAGTCTAACGGTACGATTTTTATTGCAATATTTTGTGGAGTATAACAAAATTGTGAATATGCTTCGTTTTCCTTTTAAATCACTTGACAACTTGATGACTTTGGTTCTGTCATTATCCAAAGAATTCAGATTTAAAAGTGCTTAATACTAGTTATTTCTTCATGTAGTCTGCACTGAAACAAACCAAAGGATCATGGTATATGTAGTTCCCTCTGTTTTTTTTTTACTATTGCTGCATCATAGCAATGAATTTAAGCAAAGAGACTTGTAATTCAATATTTTGTAATAGCCCAAGATATTATTGCGATATTTTTGTTGATACGGTATCAGAATATTTCCTACTTCATATTTTTATTTCAACAAATTGATTTATTTAGCTGACATTTGTGCATTTTTCACATGGCATAACTTTTTCGTAGTGCCATCCAGACAGACCCAGCCTTCCCTACATGGTTCAACATTTGATATTTAACAACCTAACAAGATTTTTTCCAATATTTCTTGGCTGCGTTGGTTACTGCCCATTCGCCATCTTTGGAAAGTTGCCATATTTGTGATACCGTGCCAGCCAGCCATACCCATTCCATCTTCCATGGCTCAATTTCTGTCAAGATCAAATATTTACAAGCTTATGAATACAAATGTTATGATCTTTGAGCATTGGACTGTGCAATTGAAACCACATAGCAATTACTGAAGATAATGCACGAGGCACTAAGCTGCAGACAAAGCACACAAAGAACCATTTTACTCCCTACATTTGTACATTTTTTCCTCCTCTCCACTGCATTTCAAATAGGCAACATTAGCCAGTAAAACTTATCGATGAGCAGTTGCCACACGCCGTCATTTTTAAGGGTTGTCTTGTTGCAGCACATTGAGCAAAAGACCACCTCCTGTCTGCGTTATGGTGTTCCGAGTTCATTTAGTTTATGGCACCAAACAGGAAGCAGGAAACTCTCTTAAAATACAAATGGCCCGGGGCGAAATGTGTAATAACGAGTGGAGAGATGGAGGAAAGCATCTCCAGCGGCTTGAAAAAATATCACACTTATGAGACTTGTTTCGGGGAGGAAGCAGTAAATTAAAGTAGTCTCTCTCCTGGAGCTAAATCACACATCGGGTAATAGTGAATTTCATACTCTGTGAAGTTTGATTTTTTGTGCAATGATATATGTAATCCTTTTCACTCAAACCTGTGTTTTTTGCTAGCGTTATACCTTGCTTTTAAAAAGTTGTAACTTAAAATTTTAGTAGCACAATGATGGCATTTTTGTAGGCCATAATCATGATTTTAGTCTTCAATAAGCCATTTACATTTATTTATGTTGTGTTTATGTGTGATAATGATGCCATGTTAAAGATGCATTGTGGAACTTTTCTGGTGGAAGGCCTGTCAAATGCCTTTGTCCATGGAGTTATTGCTTTGTCTGGAATGTTTCACAGTATGGCATTAAACCTTTCTATTTTCATGGAGACCAAACCAGACCAAGTTACAGGTCAGATCTGTGGAGAGAATGCATGTTCTTCTAGGTATTTCTGAGCTATAAAACCACCTCTAATTGAATACATATAAGGTAGAGCTGTTTAATGTCACACTGTGGACCATTTCAGGCAGAGCAATGAGATATCTGTAGAAAAAAGGAGGTGACTGACGCCCAACCAAAAAGTTACATAGTGTCCCTTTAAGTATGGCATATCATAGAAAAAAAAATATTTTTTTAAAGTAAACAAAAAGTCTGTTCCACTAAGTTAAATAGTAAAACTTAATTAATGATCTTTAGAATGTTCTTGCGAAAATTTTTAAAGCTAAACTCGACCATGCATTTCCCCCTAGGCTGTTTCCTCCCTTTTTTCTGTCTTGCTAGTAAAATAAATAAATATGAGTCATTTTGAACTTCCTGTATTATGCGTCATTTGCTATTTTGAGAATTTTGTTATTCAAAATTATACCTGCAGCTAAATTGTATCCATTGAGTAGTCTAGCTCATTGGAAGGCAAGTCACACAATATATTATTAATGATTTGATCATTTCCAACTGAGCTACAGCCCTGTTCAGATCTTCCTGATAGTTCCATATCATTGTGACTCTTACCTCTGAAGCTCCTTGTCGAGATCCACTGTCAGAAGGCCACAGACACCCATCCTGTGAATAAAACACACATGAGTTTAACACACGCACTTATTTCACTCATCACACACCATCACACACACCATGCATATTTAAACTGAGTTCTTCTCTCAAACAGAAACACTGTGCTACCTTGTGATGTCATGTCGTAATACAGGAAGGACTCCATTGTATTTTTAAACTCCATACACCTTTACTAGAATCATTTAGATCATTTAAGCCCCGGAATTGCCAACGTCTACCAAAAAAAAAAAAAAAAGGTAAAAGGAGCTGTTCATTTGAGAAATACTGCTGCATGACATCACAAGGCAGTACTGAGCATTTTGAGCTTTGAAGGTGTAGACAAACTAATAATGCAGGATTACTCAAATGTGTGTGAATGAAACAAAACACAACTCCAGGTATGTTTATGAGAAGGTAACGACATTGTAACATGGCTTAAAACTCATGAGAGTCAATTTTGCATAATATAAGGCCTTTAACACCTGAGCAAAGCATGTAGAGATAAATCCATGTTTGATCTTTAATCACTGGGCATGTTAACAAATACGATAAGCGTCTGTTTTTTATGCCGACCAAGTGATCAGTAATCTTACATGGTTAAGTGTGTATCTTCTGCCTAATTTAATGCGGAAACTCAATGCTGCTAATAGCACTGTGGATCTCCTGGCTTTGATGTCTGCAAGTCTGGGATGGCGTTTTGATGTGTGAGACCAAAAAGCGGCTGATAAAAAAAATAAAAATAAAAAATCTAAATAACTTTCTTCCTTTGCAGAATAAAAGCGAAAAGGAGGGGGTTGAAAAATAACAACTTAATGAGCAGACAAAAGATAAAAAACAAGCCCGGATGCAAAGTGAAATTGTGCTGTGTTTTTGGAGTCGAAAGGAGAGACACAACAAAGAAAAAACTACCGTCAAAATAATTGCCCGCTTCCTTTTTCTACATTTGACTTTGGGAACTTTCATAAGACACCACAGTCAACAACATTTAGTTGCGAAATATAGCACAAAAGAACATGAAACAGATGAACAAAACACTGCAATAGCGTCTTTGTATGGATCTGTGAGGAGCAAAAGGGCAGCGGCTGTTGTCTTACCGCACAGTTGCTTTGTAGCTTCCTGACGCTACATAAGCAACATACATTTAGTGATTTAATTATTTATTTAAGCTTTGTGCGGCCACTCTGCCCTCCAATCAAAGCTGAAATTATGCAAAGAGCTGCAGCACAGATGAAAAGGAGGTGACATCGAGGTTAGCGGCTGTATAATTTCAAGTAGAGCAAGTATCTACCAGAAATCAACACCCCAACAACTCGTTCCTTGGTCTTTGCCTACGCGTGAAGATTTTTTACATATATTACATTTTCCTTATATATTACATATTTTTTCTGAACTATGTTATAATGATTCCTCATTAAAAACTACCTAGAGTTTAGTTTCATTCACACATTTAACACTTGAACCCTGGATATTTAGGCTGAGTTCTTGTGATGTCATGTGGTAATACAGGAAGAGCTCCCATATTTTAAGGAGTTTTCACTTGAATAATTTGGGCCATTTAATCGCCTGTCACTACTGAACTAAAAGTAAAAGGTAGCTGTTAACTTGAAAATTAACATTTCATGACATCACAAAGTGAAACAGACCTTCGGAGATGTAGAATTAATAATTCAGGATTACTCAAACATGTATGAATGAAACAAACCACAACTCCAGGTATGTTTTTGTTGAGGTAACAACATCATAACATGGCTAAAAGCTCACGAGAGTCAATTTTATGTAATATCAGACTTTTAATGGTGTCAGATTGATGGAGTGATGTTGGTAATGTTTTCAAGACCTCTATTCAATTGTCCATGGTAATGACTTTCAGTTTAGTTTTTACAACAGCAACATTTTTTGACATTATATATTATGCTAACTAACTTGCATATCTGTGTATAAGTAGGATTTTGAGACTTAATTAGATAAAGTGTAACACTGAACCTCAAAGGCGCTGTACCTTATTTTTACTGCCTGAAATACAGAACAAATTAATGTGCAGCATTCATGCAATCAGAACATTGTAATTATTCACACCGATGAGTTATAAGCTTATTTATGGTATTTAACAACAGCAACTAGCATGCTAACTGTGCACTTGCTGATTCTCAGTGAAGAAAATGCTGCTTATACAATATGTAATGGGGCAAGATCAACAGTGATACAGGGTAAAAAATTCAGATAAATGACCTTAAAATTGTATAAAAAGTATTTTTTTAGATACATGTAAACCGTTGTGCGTAAATGCACAGAGCATATTGTGTCACTCTTTGACACATCTGTCTAGACTGTGTTGGTGAATTAAACATCAAGGGCCCCCGTCTGCCATTGAAGAAAACATAAAATACTGCTGCTTCTCCAAATCTGGGACATGAGGAGCGAGATAAAGGTTTTCATTCAGCCCAGCGGCAATGGGACGAGCAGAAGAGGTGCTGTGTTTGTCCTGCTTCGGAAATAAAGAGAGATCACAATGGCTGCTCCGGGACAGGCCGTACGCACAGATGACAAAGGGACACACAGTTTTCATTTGATGCAGGAAGGGAGACGCTGCCAGGTTCTAAATACAATGAGTGTTTGTGTGTCCAACATGAAGATAAGAGTTAAGGCAAGCTGTCATCAGAAATATAGTTGAGACTGGTGAAAAGTACAAAATGTCCAAAGTATGGCTTTTATATAAGTTTAAATGTGTTTTTTTGGTGGATGAATATTGTGCAGCCATTACCTGAACTGAACACTGTTCCTCATGAACACATTCTGACTGTGCAAATAGGTCCTGTAGGTCCTGAATTACGCAAAATTGACTCTTTAGAGCATTTAAGCCATGTTAGAATACCGTTATGTCCTCAAAAATATACTCAGATTTGTGTTTTGTTTCTTTCAGACATGTTTGAGTAATCCTTTATTATGAGTTTGTCTACATCTCCAAAGCTTGAAATGCACTGCTCCATCTTGTCATGTCATGAAGTGGTAGTTTTCAAGTTAACAGCTACCTTTTACCTTTAGGTCAGTAGAGATTGGTCATTCCAAAGCTGAAATAATTCAAATGATTTTAGTGAAGGTGTATGGACTTTAAAACACAGTGGAGCACTTCCTGTATTACCACATGACATCACAAGGCAGTGTTTTTTGTTTGAGGGTTTTGCATGTTGAACATATGTGAGTGAAACAAAAAACTCCAGGTATGTGACGAGGAAACAACATTATAACATAGATCAGAAAATAGTGTTGAGATGGGACTATTAAGTTAAATTAGGCATTTTTGTTGTAACCCACCTAACAACCCCGAAAGGCACTACTTGAATAAAGTTCTTAAACTTCATGTAAGTTAACATTAGTCTCACAATGTGGGTTACAGGAAATTAAAAGAAGAAAATAAGACCGGTGCACACTGTCATGTCAGCTATTAGTGAGTGTGATTACATGGAACTATAGTTAAAATTTAATAGTTACATCATGTGTATTTTGTACAGTTACTTTACATCTGCATTCATCTGCTAGTGTATGCAGACAATGGAAGGGGTTGTCTGGCTCAATGGTAGATTGTACTGTTGAGAAAAACACCAACTACATTTTTCAGCCAGAGAACATGCTGTCCTTGTGGTTTAGGTAAATTTGACGAGAGCAAAATTGTGATTGCTAGACTAATTGGTCAGATGTTCTTCGCAGCTTGTGTAAACAGTATTTAGAAGCTGGTGGTGCTAAAGTTAATGTCTGTAATGCCCCCACACATCTTTCATTGTTGCTTGTGTTTAGTGTTTAAGTTTTAAGGATGAAAAGTCATTTACAAATCGATACAAAAACCTGTATCAAAACTACTAATTTCAGCAAGTATTGATGCTAAATGAATCACATAAACAGGATAAAATTGGACTTTCTTGAATAGTTGATGAGTTAGAATGGTCTTGAGTTCTATCCAAAGACTGCAAATAAGTGGACTATGAGTGTGTGTGAGCATCACCCACAGTATAACAAAATTTTACAGAGAGACAGGTAACAGTTTTTCCATGTAAAATCAATTGGACCCAGAGTTGATGGAGCTGGAAGCACCCCCAAGCTCATTTCCTTCCAGGAACGCAACTGCAAGCGGGTTAGCTATGTCCATTTATACTTACAGTCTATGGTTTTATCAGAACTAGCATAAGACCACATGGTGACCTAATGAATGTACTATTATTTTGTGTTGACAATTGTATCAAAAATGTCAGTATGGAGTATCAAGCCTACTGCTTAGTATTGAAATCAAGTCTGAAATGTAAGTATATTGACAACATTAGTTTATAGGTACCTGCTGCAGTGCGTGGTCGTGCCTCCGCCCCTGGCTCTGCCGGCTGATGAAGGACCAGGTGGACAGTTTGTAGTGGTTCAGCAGACAGATGATGACCACCACCATCACCGTCATCACCACGATAATGATGACGATCTGAACAAACTCCAGTTCAGCTGAAACACAAAGAGAATAATACAACTCAGGGTTAGTATCAAATATCACAAGGATAGACCAATTTATTCACACATTATGACTGGGGGGATCAAAAAAGCATTTTTATTGGTAATAGCTTTATAGTCTTGGTTGGCGGATAACAGTCTATATACTAACAACCGAATTTAATTAGCCATGAAAACGAAACATAAATAGCCATCCACAAAGGTGCACTGCGTAACATTTTTAGTGGGGGTCCGCCACTTCCTTGTCTCCATGGAAATATTGTTGCTTTGTCTAAAATGTTCCACAGTATAGACTAAACCTATTTATCACAAGGGATACAGGCAGGTTACAGCACTATTAGGATTGGAGAGCTGCCTTTATTCACAGAAAGAATTATAGTGTTTTTGAGCAATAGAAACACCAGTAATGAATAAATGCTAGATGTTCATGTTTAATATCATACCACAGAACATTCTAGGCAAAGCAATAACATTTCCATAGACAAGTAGGTAGCGGACCCTCCACCAGAAAAGTTGCCCAGTGCATCTTTAATTAAACTAACACAATAATGCAATATACTTTTGTATGTTAAAAAAATGCCAAAATGTTGGAACTACAATAAAAAACACTCTCACACACAACACACACACACTGTATGATTCCCACAACACTTTCATCAGTACAGATACATATCTGTATAGCAAATCTAACATGAGTAGCTTCGTAGAGACCTGGGATGTTAGAAGTTATATTTTAACTGGTTATGACAAGCCTTGACCAGCAGGGGGTAGCACAGACCAGACTTCGCCCTTGTCTCTGTACCAAAGCCGTATACAAGTCCAGCTTTGAGAGCGCAGACTAGAAATGTCCAAACTCTTTAAAAAGATGAGTTGTTGTCTGCAGTGACAGTGGTGTCTTTGTAAGGGCACTGAATGCAGTCTGTGTCTGTCCCACTCAGACCAGGACTGTCCCGGGACGAGCATGGATCTGGGACGAGAGTGGAGTTACAATGTGCACTGTACTGTCCTGTCTGACCCCAGTGTCTACTGCTCATCTGTCATGTGTCTGTCCGATAAAGCGAATTTTGTATGGTTTGCCAAAAGAATTAGGAATGTCAAAAATGAGCCTCTAAAAAGTTGGACCACTCATTTTACGAAAACATAGCTGAGATCATTACATTTAAGATGTTACTAAAAATTTGGCAATTTAAAAAAAAAAAAAATCAAATTCCATAACTGTTATCTACCAACCATGTAGTGGGCCAAAACTCCCCTATTGTACATTGAAATTATTAAACAGACACGTTTATTTTGCTGAAAGTATCAGAAAAAATATATATAAATTAAAAGCAAGACTAGCAAGATGCCATCAATATGTTTACAACTTTCGACTTCCTGTAGTTTTCAACATATTTTTCAACTTTTCTTCTCAAATTGCTTCTGATTTGGTTTAAAGCTACAATTTTATTTAATAAAGTTTTTGATTTAGAATTTGGTTCTGGTCATAATATTGAACTTGTACAGACAGGTTTTCCCACAACTATGTGGTTTAAACAAGCATAAACATACAGCACAATACAACACACGTTCAATAACAATATACAGTATTACATGACCACTTGAGATATTGTGTATGGGGATTAAAAAATAAGTTATAGCTGTTCAGTGCCTTTGACTTCATCATCATATCTCCATACTGTATCTGATCTTGTGAACCACCTTCAGTTCTAATGCATAAGACCACATTTGCACATCAGAGCAGCTTCAACTCTTGTATTCCTATCTGCTTGCCCTCCTCTGCACTTCTCCCTTTCTCTCTCCCTCTCTCTTCTCTCCTTAGTCTGACTCTTTGAACTCTGAATGTCCACTCTCTTTCTCCCCCGCCTCTCCTCCTCACTTGCCCACAGTCTTTCCCTCATCCCCTCCTCTCTCTCTCTCTTTTTCTCTCCCTGTCCTTCTCTCTCCCTCGCTCTCTCTTTGCTTCTGTCAGAGCGTCTTTTGTTGTTGCAGTTGGTCTGAAGCTGGAGTCTTGACCTTGTCTGGTCTGGCACTGGTTGTGACCTCTGCCTCTGACTCACTCTCCGGACACTGACTCATTTCTGAAGCAGTGTGTGTATGTGCTCATAGTCTGCTTAAGTCTAAGTATACAACCACGTCATCAAGTACAGTCATCGATTTCAAATGGAATGCTTCAGTTTTGCGACGTTTTAATAGACAAAACAAGGAACATTTTGAAGGGCAATCTTTGAATTTAAACTATTGATGTATATTGATGCTGGTGATTAAAAGAAGGAAAAAAATGTCTGCTGATGTAAACAGGAAAGACTATTCTAGACAGAGACTATTCAGTTGCACTCTTTCAATTCCCTGCTATCTTAATAGGACAAAAATTTGGTGTACATGGAAGGGCATCAGGAGTAAAACTATTTTGTAATAGTTAGCATCTTACAATGTGTAATTTTGTGGCGCCCTCTAGTGAAACCATGAGGTACTGCGGTGCTTTTCTAAATAAATACAGCCCTGAAGCACCCCCACCAGAATCAGAGCATTGCATACAACAAGTTTACTTTTAAGACATTTAGTGTTGGTTGGGTTTAATACGTTTTGGAATAGTCACGCAATAGCGCAATGATGGTTGCCTAAAATACACTGTACAAACAATATGACTATTCCCGATAACTTTCAATTGGAAAACTAATAGAATTGCCCAATGCACCTTTAAGCTCTCTTACAAAACCTAGAGGATCAAACCAAGGGCTAGTCAATGATTCAGCCTTTTCATTCCCACCAGAAAGTCCCTGTTTGAAATACCAAAGTAGACCGAAGCCGGGCCTATCCCCACTGCCCGGGCCTATAGTAATCCTGGCAGGCTTATTTGTCAGCTTTAGGCCGAGTTAATGTGGAGCCAGTGCCGAAATCCACCCAAACCCTCTCCACCGCAGCAGAAGCCACAAGGGACGGGTGGGGTACGCCTCGTGAAGAAGGAGGCCAAACCGCATAGAAAGGAAAATATGGAGGAGAGCGAAACCCAAGCCAGTAAAACTAACCAGTGCTAACAACTGGAGTTATGGGATGCTTAGGAGGAGAAATAGAAAAGTGTTATATGCAAAAAAAACTAAAATTAACATCATGATCTTTTTTTTTTTTTTTTTTACCACCAAGACCACAATTCAGATTATATGATGATTCATTGGTCATGCTGCTTCTGCGAGTTCACACTTCACTGTGGTTGGTTAAACCCACTTGTCAATCACACAGAGTGGACTGTGGATGACCGATAGGAAGAGTGAGTGGGAAAAAGTGTCTGTGTTTGAAGAAATAGCTGCATTAAACAGTAACGCATTGAATCAAAATATAACATGACAGAATCTGATCACGATTTTAACCCCTGTCAACAATAAATGTTAACGCTGCTTGAAATTTCAATTGTAAAGCGTACATAAAAAAGCTGTGAAGAAAGCAGTAAAGCAAAAATCCAGTAGACAAGATAATCGTGTGGGCGGGACTGCCAGGAATCAAGACCAGGTCAAATGCAAAACAATTTGAAAGACAATGGTTCAATGAGCCGTAATGTGGACTCATCTAAATGTCACCAACAAGTCTGTCAGAAAACGATCCAAGCAGAATCAAATGTGAATTGTGTTGATATCTGCAGAAACCTAAAACAGGGAATAGAAAGCTGTAACGCCAAGTAATAATTACATGGAGACAAACCACTAAAGAGCTCTCACTTCCCAAATGAAACTTCATAGGCACAAACAATGCTCCCTTGTCATAAAATGAACTGTATCAGCTATTGTTTCTCCACCAACTTCAACATTTCACAATAAAGGTTTTCCAAAACAATGCATTGTTCTCGTTTTGTTCAGTATAACTTTACATATCACCTCCAGAGTTTAACTAAATAATCCAAAGTCCATGTGAAAGGGGGAAAACGTGCTTTGGTCCCGGGACAAGAGGCATCTGGGACTGGCCTTGGCTTGTGTTAACCACAGAAACCACAGGGAGGGGACCCACGGAGGCTTACATTCAGAGAGCGGCATTCTGGGAAATAGAGAGTGTAGGCCTGCTGCTGCTCAGGGCTACAGAAGCAGGGAGGAAATACTTTGAGTTACAAGACAAAGTTTTTCAAAGGATTAAATGTCTCGAAAGATATTTCCTGAAGCATACTTCAACTTAACGAGAATATTTGTGAAGAAAGACAACACTTTCCCACATGCTTATTGTGACAGCCTGAAAAGTCGAACTGTCTCACAGTCATATAGTTGGAGGTCTACACTGCTGATATGAATTCATTGATAGAATACATCATTATACTCTGTGGGGCAGTGGAGTCGCTGTAATAATGGAATGCACTGTTATGGTTTAGTTCAGTGTTTCTCAAACTGTGGACTTCTGGTGGTATACTGGGCCCTCTGCAGAGTTTTTGTTTAATCTAGCTACAAATCTAATGCATTTGTTCTCCTTTATTCTGATGTTAGTCCTGGACTGGTCTCATTTTAGACTCATTTAGACCTGATTTAATCCATGTTTGGATCTGGAGGTACTTGCTTGCACATACTGTTAATGTCAATACTAGGCTAACATCAAAATCAGCCTGTCCTTATGACTTTGTGAACAAATCAAACACGAGTGAGATTTTTACTTTCACTTTCTGCCATCCAAAGACCACTCAAAACAATTGAGCACAGGCCCCCCCTCAACATGAAAGTTCATAGTTTGCAATGCACAGAAGGAAAAAGGAAGTGTAGCGTCCGGACCGAGAAGCACGCGGTGTACAGCAACGTTCAGGCCCAGTGCAGAGGAACAGAGTGTGCTGGCAGTCCGCATTACCAGCACCACCAGCCTGATGTTATTACAACACTAATCCACTTGTCAAAACAATATGAGGCGGGCGGCTGCAGCTCCCTTCCTTCAGCAGGATCCGGCATGTGCGCGGTGAGCCAGCAGTTCATGGGCTTTTCTATGTTGGGGATGGAGCAGAGAGGCCATTGAGTTTATACGAACGACATCCA